GTGGGGCCTGTTTGTCACCTGGTGCTCCACAGAGATGTTTTAAATGCAGTTATACAATCATGTTAGTTACATATATTTCAGTTAAGTTAGTTTCTGTGGGGAATTATTCATTGAGTTTTCTAGTCATTTGCTTAGAAATTTCTAGATAAATTAGATTTTTAAATGAACAAGGGGGTGGCATGGTGTGCAAGTAGACTGCCATTCATCTTAAGCATAGTTTCAAAACAACATGGGCCCAGCATGGGGGAACATTCAGAAAGCAGATGGTTTGACCAGCAGTCCCTGACTTAGATTGTACATATTTGAAATGACTGTGAGCTGCTGAATGGGAGCAACAATGGAGAAAATAACAATGATAAGACCTCAAAAAATTCAGAAATTACAGAAGAGTTCTAGATCCATCTACATGTTTTATATTAATTGTTAAAAGATATCTATATGCGTATCACTATATACATATGCTAATCACTCCGTGCTTCTTTAATCACAGTAGGGCAGAAGAACTGAAAAAAAAAAAAACAAAACAAACAAAAAAAAACACCTAAAGCAAATCTCATCACAGTCTGAGAGAGGATACAAATCCGGTTCTCAGAACTGCGTTTCACAGTCAGCAGATGAGTGTGCTTGCAGAGAGAGAGGGAGGCTGAAGGTGAAAATGAGGTGGGGGAACTACTCGGGAAATTAAAACTGTAATAAGGTCCCCGTGGGTTGTGTTTCTGGCCCTCTGCAATAACAGAATGCGAACAAAAGGGTCAGAGGGCAAAGGCTGAAGTTCAGCTCAGAAAATGAGGGCTGTCAAGGGGCTTCAGGCTGTGCATATGGCAGGTGGAACCAGGCTGACAAATTAGACATCACTGGGCAACCTTCACGGTTGACAATCCGGTCTCTTCAGTCTGCTACCAAAGAGCGAGTCTGATGGTTATAGGAAAGGGGGAAAGTTCCATTTTACAAAGTTTGCACATGGGTGACATGCTGGTGTAGCCGGCAGGGGGCATGGAAAGGGAACGAACTGAAAAAGTGGGTGCTTGGTATGAGACTGAGAGTGTGCGAGGCAAAAAAAAAAAAAAAAAAATGTAAAGAGAAAAAGAGGGATGAGAAAAAGAATGTGAGAAGGTACCGATAAAAACAATGCGAGAGCCAGCATGAACGAGATTGGTGGTGAGAGGGAGAAATAAATTAGATGAGCCAAACAGCCGGAAGAAAATGTGTTGAGAGGAGAGCAATAGACAGGGATGAGACACAAGGAGAGCAGCTCAGAGAGAGAAGACAGAGAAGAGCCGAAGGAAAAACAAAGAAAAAAAAAAAATCTAGGCCTGCCTCCACATGGGCAATTTCAAGGGACTGATGGGAGCAATCTCTTGTCAGCCAGGGCCACGACATGGCTGAGGGCAATGGAAAAGAGTCAGAAGGCAGAGGTGAGTGTTGAGATCACAAACACAGGTAGCTCTGACACTGAGCAGGGCCCATGTAAGGACAGAGGCACAAGTGTCTCTCTCCTCTTATCTGCTTCCTGCTAAAACCCAAGGCTGCTCTTCATTTTCTCACTTATAAGCTATCTTTGTCTCACAAGCCTCTTGAAAGCCATTAAAATGTTGCAGCAAAGCATCACGGTTGCTGGGTGTCCTGGTCATAATGTTCGGGCCAAGGGGTTGTTGCAAGGAAAGGAGATAACAGGGTTTCCCAAGTGGAGATTTCAGTAATGCCTAACAATCTGGGTCAACTGGTGAATTCTGTGGAAAACAGATTGCTGTTCTTGGCATTTTTGCCATCCCTACACCATGCCAATTTCAGCAGACAAATTATTTCTTAAGGGGTTTTGTGTAGACAAAGACCAGAGGGCATCTTCTCTGTCCTTCCTCTGGCTTCTTGAGGCTTCCAAATGTCTTTGTTTTCTGACTTGTCAGAGTCAATTGATGCTTTACTTTTCCCCCTTTCGGGGAATATTCACATTTTGGTTGAGCACCTACTCTGTACCAGATGCCATTAGGTACTGTGAGAAAGGCACAGATTTGCTGTGGAATAATCCTTCTTTACATTGTGAAATGTGTGCCTTTCATTGTTAATTAATAAAAAGCTGATTGGTCAATAGCTAGGCAGGATTTTTCAGGCAGAAAGAATGCTGGGAAGAAGGGCAGAGTCTTGGGAATCAGGGCCAATGCAGAGGAAGCAAGATGAATGTGCTGTGTTGAAAGAAGGTACCACCATGTGGCAGAAGTTAGATAAGAAATGTGGGTTAATTTAAAATGTAAGAGTTAGCTAACAAGCCTGAGCTATCTGCTGAGCATTTATAATTAATTATAAATATAAGTCTCTGAATAGTTATTTGGGAGCGGCTACTGAGACACACAGAAACTCTGTCTATATAGAATTATAAGGTGTTATCTTGTAGGCCGTGGCAGTGAATGTAAATTCCCACTCATGGATGTTCTGCATCTTCAGGTAAGTTTGTCACAATTGGCAGACACACATGGAAAATCATCTATTTCACAGTGTTTGTTTTTCTTCAAGTAAGAAAACAACCACAAGTAAGTATAAAAACATATATCCTGCCATGTATACTGAAATAGTTAAGGTAAAGGGTCACTGATAAGCAATTGACTTTGGGATGCATAGAAAATAAGATGGATTAGTGATTAGAAGAAGAAATGAGTAGGCAGATAAAGATGTGCTAAGGCAAGATCAGTAAATGATCAAATTTCTAAGTGGTGGGTACATAGTTATCCACTGTAAAATTCAATTTCACTGCATTTGACATGTTTAATTCACTTTGTGGAATAATCAGTAGACAATTAAAAGGTGTTGATTTGAGGAGTTCAGACAAGAAAGTGATGGAATAAGAAGATGGAGAAACAGTGGTGGCTGGGAGGAAGGTAATAGAGGAAATTATGTTAGCTATCTATTGCTGCACAGCAAATCACTGTGAAATGAACTGGATTAGAGCATCGCACAGGCGCCAGCTCTGATGGTTGCCAGTGAGGAGTCCAGGAAGAATCTCTAGCTAGACAGACGGTGCTAGCTGGGGTCATCTGTGACGTTTGCAGCTAGGGTGTGTTAGATAACAAAGTCATCTGAATCCTTGCCTAGAGCTGAAGGCAGAATGGCTCTCTCGCATGGGTTTTATGAAGGGAGCTCATTGCCAGTGACTCACTGTGTGGTTCTCTTTATTTGCTACTGGAGTATCCTTGTCTCAGGCAACGAGCTCCTGCAGAGAAGCGGGACCACTCCCTCATAGCCTCATCATGTTGTGTCATTTCTGCCTAGTTTTATTTGTCATATATAGACACTAATTCCAGCCAATGATTAATGGCAGAAGGGTGTTAGATTCTATTTTCTATGGCAAACAGGGCTGAAAACTTTGAAGACATGTTTAAAAACCACTGTTTAGGACTTGGGTGGACCCAGGAGTGGTGGCTCACACTTGTAACCTCAGCATTTGAGAGATTTAGGCAAGAGGATTACTTTGAGTTCCAGGCCAGCCTACAGTGCAGTATGATTAGTTGAAGTAAAGCCCTACTGCATCATCATCATCATCATCATCATCATCATCATCATCATCAACCACAACAACAATAACAGTAACAAATATGGCCACACAAAAAAAACCCCACAATACAAAAACATTTTAGGTGTGGTTTGGGCAGAATGCCAGCTTTCAAAAGCTGATAAATAGTGAAGTCAGGTAGTTACTTACGATGTTAAAGACCTCTTCATCTAGAAAATTATAGGAGTCTCTTGGGTTTCTTGAGTCAGGGTTGAGTGAGGCTATAAAAAACAAAACAAACAAACCCCCCACAACCCTCCCCGAACCCCAGCCTTTTCTTTCTTTTTAGTTGAGACAAAATTTGAATGGCCCAGAATTAGTCCTTCAGCCATTTTAATATGCTCTGCTCTATGGCTCTTACTATGGTGTTCAAAATGCTGGCACCCATTGCTGCTCTTTAGTTCCAGATTGACACTGCAAAGAAAACACTGTAGCTGTGATCCATCTCCCTGTCTTACCCCTTCCCATGTCCCAGCAAACATTCATCTATTTTCTGTTTCTATGGACTTATCATGATTCTGTTTCTTTGAGTTCAGAAGGTAAGGAGAACTGGATCAGACTACCTGTGAAGACTTTTTTTTTTTGGTGGGAATTAATGAGTCCAGGAAAGCCTATGGAAAGAAAGCTACCAAACAACAAAAACACAATAATATAAGTAAGCCCGCAGAAATAACTTGGGGCCAACTTATGAACTTAAAAGCAGTGAATCCAAATGGTCACCCATGCTTGGACATTAGATAAAAATTACCAATGATTATAAAATTTCAATGGGCTGTATATTAAAATTTTCAAAAAAAATTTCCAGCATTATTTTGGGTGGTTGGCAGTTGGCAATAGATAGAGCTATCCAAATCAAATTGGTTATATTTTTCTGGCAAGAAATAATGGGGTACTGACTAGTGGGCCTTCAAGCTGGCTCAGTGGCTACAGGCCTTGCTGTAAAAACCTGCAATGTGAGTTCAGTACATGGATCTCAAGTAGAGGTTGAAGGAAAAAATCAGCTCCACAAAATTGTCCTATGATGTCCACGTGGTATGCACACAAATACTAATGATAATAATAGTGGTAATAACAATAATACATTTTGGTGTAACTGACTGATGAAATCAAGAATACAATTCTGGGTATTCCTTCCAGGTTATCTCTGCAGCAGGAATTCCTCTGATGTTGAACTCCAAGTTTGTTACCTTGGTGTGAATAATTTCTCTTCTTGCCTTAGTTTTTCTCTTGTCACATAAGAATGTTCATAACCCTGATTTTTTTTTAAAGGAATGTCAAGTGAGCTACATAAATCAGCACATTAGAGATTTGCCAACAGTGGCCTGCCCTCTGAAAGCACGGTGCTTACACCCACAGGGTTTCGTGGAAGGAATCACACTCTTTAGGGGTATCTAAGCAGAGGTGATATTTCTTTCATGCAATTATTTTAACATATAAAATCCTACATATTTTACACTAGGTCCCTGGGCAGATGGAGTTTTAACTGTTGACGATGTAAGACAGCCTGAATGATGCTACTGCAAAGTCGGTTCCAACGTCCGTCTGCTGACAGTAACTGCTTCCCTTTGGCATTTTTCAAAACCAGGACACCATCTTGAACACTTCAAGTGTGAGAAAGAACTCAAGGACCCTCCAGGCTTTAAGTGTACTAGCCTGCATCTGGAAGCACTCTTGAGAACATTGCATCTTAGGAGACAATACCTCCTGGGATCTCCGTGTCACCAGCTCTTTTCAACAACACTGGAGCTGTGTAATAGAGGAAACATTGTCCTACAAAATGCGAAGCGCCACTGCCAAGACCAGGGGAAAGAAAAGACATTGCTGAAAGATTTAATAACTGCGGATTTTCTGACTCAAAGCAGATATTCAGCCTTTGAGTGATCTTTATGTGGCTTAAGTGGATTGGCAAGAGTACTTCCAGCAGGTCACATGACCCAGGTACCACGGGAAAGCTGCAAACAGAGGGATATGATGACTGTATAGAAGAATAGGCACCTCCCTGGCTAGTTCTTAGACACATGACTGTCTCAGTAGAGACCTGCCATCATCTATTGTTTGTGTACAGTCAAAGTCACTAGAGGAAACTATTAAATCATTCATTTACAAAGTATCATAGATACTGAAGGTGACCATTTGGTAGCCCATCTGTTAACCTATTGTCTTTCTCCAGTATCTGTAAGCTTCATACAAACACACCTCTCATTCTTTCTGCACTAGAGATGGTTCCTAATTTACTGCCCGAATATGGGAAGAATTGTTGAACGAAATAGGGAAAGAGAAAGAGAGGGAGAGGATAGGGTTTAAACGTTCAAGTCCTGCATGGCATGTTCCTATCATCTGGGTAGGGGGTGGCAGCCAGAGCCACAGACAAGCTCTGGCATGTTTGCCATGTCTTTGTAGAGTGTTGAAGCCTCAATACTGTGTCCAAAGATTGCTTGCTTGCTGCTAGGCAATTGACATCCTGCCTCCGGCATTGAAACAAGCCTGCCTCATTTATGAACTCATTAACCTGCATTGATAAAGACAGTTTACCAGCTAGAGGTCTTTGTGATTGTTCCCGGCACCCACTCACCATGCACCCAAGCTTGTTTTCACTGGCATATGCTCTGCAGTTGCCTCAGAGAAACCATCTTTCTAATGTTGAGCCCTTTCTGTGCTCTTTTCTCTCTTGACTACATTTCCTGTTTCTACCTTTACCTGTTGAGGCTTAGGCTTGGAGTATAATTTTCCCCATATTTGGACTTCTATTATTTTCTCTAGATGTTAGTTCACTCCTCTGACTCTCAGTTTTCCTTCTAATTTAATAAAGTAATTTCTATTTTTTCCCAGACCCCCTTCCACATGCATGCACCAATATACATGCATACATATATACATATCCACACATACAAATACATGCTTGCACACACACATAAACATGCAGACACAGACAATATACACACATATATATTATACATACACACTCATACAAACCTCACACCTCCACATACACACATGAGCACACACACACACAGGGAAGCACACTTATATACATTCACTGCACACATATACACAAATATACATATCTACGTACATACTTATACAAACTGCACAGCTCCACACATACATGCACACACATACACAAACATACATGCACATTACACACAGACAGACACAAACACACACATGTGCACATATATATGTGTATATATATATATATACATTCACACATATATACACACATAGGCATACACACACGGAGACACACAGATATATGCATACATGCACACATACCCATACAAGCACACACACTACAAATACATATACACCTATACACATACACAGATATGCACACATACACACTCATATACACCACATACTTCTATAAACATACATACATAAAATATGAATATACACATTCATACACATATATGCACATGCACACATACTTATATACATATATAATGAAGATTTATACATACAACCCCCCTCCAACATTTATGGTCAGTAGGTCAACATTTGACCTCTTAAAAGAAGAATTAAAAAAGGAATTGCTCTCCCCACAGACATCTAGAAATCTGTTTTGTCTTGAACAAGTATAAACAATACTAAATTGAGCCTTCGAAGAGGTTCAGACACAAGGGAGATAATATAGATAGCCTGTTTAGTAGTTCCCTTTCTGAGATATATGAGGGTTTGGATGACTGTTTATTTGATTGCCAAGTTTACTGCCTTAGTAAAATAATTTCAGTAAGTAAGTAAGGACTAAGAAGACTTTTATTTCAACACTGTGGTATAAAAACAGAGATAACAGAGATAATTATTCTTATGAGAGTTAATATCTAGAGGTATCAATCCAGTTATTGAGAAGTAACCCTAAGTATCTTACAGTCCATTGGAGTTAGTGTAAGCAGACAAGCTGATATTTAAAAATGCCATTTTTATAGTGTATGGAGAAGGATTGGATCCAAAGTCCATCTGATGCTGATGCTGAAATGGCCTTAGAATGAAGGCCATGGATATGTGCCTACTTGGGCAGTTTGGAGGAGCCATGATGCTTTTTGGAACCCTTGTTGAGTGCGTTAAAAATGAATCCTACTAATGAAAAGTGCTTGCACTCTGTAGTTAATCATACTAAAGAAATGTGCCACATAATCACCGTGAAATTGAATGTTGGTAAATATGCTGTTCAATGTGTATTCAAATAATTTTGTAAATGAGGAGGAATAAGGGCCAAGATATTGGATCATGATAAACAGATTTGGCCAAGAGCCACTGATGTTGAAGGCCAATATCTAATTGTAGATATTGCAGGGTCTGTTCTAAATTCAGGGTCTGTCTTCAGTTGTCCACTGTCAAGTGATGAAATTTGATGTGGCCACACAAGTGCATCAAATGAACACACTACTTTTTACCAGAACCATTTAAAAGAACAGAGTTCAGCCATTTTTGAACCCTCTTTGAAGTGCCACCTAGAACTCTGTAGCCTGTGTACAACACAGTCTTCAGGAGGGCAGGGTATTGCCAGCCTTCTTTTCTTTAGAGTCACCCTCTTCTTGACTTTTGAGAGAATTCTGAGATAATACACAATGTATTCTCTGGTCTGGATGATGATTTTGATGACAGTACTTAAGGGAAAATTTTCTAGTCAGTCTGATCATGAGTAAAAATTACGCCACACAGTCACAATTAGAAATAGTTTCCTGGCAAGGTGTCACAGAAGTAATTAGGAATTTCGAGGATATTGTACACTCCTCTGCCTATCAGCTGGAATACATAAACGACAAACGCAAATAGTTGAAAAAAATCTCTAAATAATTAACTTTGTACTCTAGAATATAAATGCTGTGTGAGGAATTGTAATGAAAAAGTATATATAACATATATTTTATAGTGAAATGTTTTATTTATATAATTTATACTAGGAAATGCACTCTAAATAAAGGAGGGCTTTATGAACATGAATATAGAATTATTGGGAATATTTTGACTATATTTCTTGAAAAAAAGTGAAGCACCTAAGGAGCTGCCCTTGAGAGAAGGCCCATAGACCTCTGAAACAATCTCTGAAAACCATCAAGACCAGAGATGCCTTTTTTTTCTGAGCAAACTGACATTATAAAGAAGTAAAGATGAGGCCATGACATTTACAAGTGATTGGGTGACTAGTCTGTGTCTGTATCTTTATTGGTATTATCTTAATCCTTCAAATTACCCTGCAAGAAGGTTCTTATTTCATTTCATACAGGAAGAAACTGAGAACTAAGAAGGGTAGGTAATTTGTCAACGTTAGAGAGCTGGTAAATGCCAGAGCTGGGATTTAAATCTGAATCTATCTGACTCATAGCCCATAATCTTTCCAGTATGCAAAACAAAATGATGTTGAATAGATAAACAAAGAATATCATCCCTGCTTCCTTCTGCTAACACATGTGACTAATGGGCTTCGAAAGACGTGTTGCTAAAGGGCTTCTTATGAAGAAGGAATGCTTGGGCTGAGTATAATTATGAATTGGAAACATGTTGTGACTCTTTTCCATGTTTGTGATACTCTATGAAGCTTTAACAGGTGATGTGAAGGTCACTCAAATTATGCACAAGACACATCACTATATTGTAACGCTGACCTACCAGGGAAGACTTAGAGAATACTGTACTCAAGAGCGTCTGGGGCAGGAGTCCATGTTGGGCACAGAACAGAGTGAGGATGACTATGCTTTAGTCTGAGAATCCAAAGGCTGAGAAAGGCACAAGGGTACCTGATTAAGTGTCAGTTGACCTTCATTCCTTGTAACTCCAGTATATAATGTAATGATGAGATTCTTTGGGATCCCAGAAAAGGATCTTGTTTTTAATGACTTGGTTTCCTTATTTGCATTACAGGAGAATAAATCCTATGTCATGAAACTCATATTATTGTTTTAAGATTGAATTTTAGGAACTCAAAACTTTTAAGTTCTAAAAAAAAAAAAGAGAAGAATCATTAACTTTATGAAATTAGCATGTATCCTAAGAGCCTTCCACTACGTTTGGAATCATATAAAGTGTACACAAATTAAGCTTGTGATCCAAAAATCCCTAATCAGAGGGATGTTGATGAGCGGTCATGATAATGTGGTTGGAAATGGAACGTAGTCATTTGCTTAGAATTAGAGATAGCTATTCACTTCAGCCTGCCACAAGTAACGTTTGCTAAATCAGAAATATCTGCAGAATGATGGTGGCATTGTCTGTTTCTTACTGGTGCTAAGTCATTTAATCTGGATTTTAAAATAGAAAATGTATCATGCATTTTTGGAAAAGGAAAATCAGATTTTTAAATGATTCTATGGCCTTGTACCATTTTTATGAATGCATGCACAGGCATGTGTGTGTGTGTGTGTGTGTGTGTGTGTGTGTGTGTGTGTGTGTGTGTGTGTGTGTGTGAAGGAAGAAGGTGTGAGAAGTAAGCCTATTGTATTTCCGAAGACAAGCCATGTATGGTAAAGGATGTCAGCACTGCACTTGACATTTAAAATTCAAGGAGATCTACAGAGACCACAGCTGCACTTTGATTATTTTCTTCTCACAACTTTCTAGAGGATGCTCATCTGGCAGTGGCTAGCAGTACCATAAAGTTCCCTCTATTATCCATCATACTAGCTGCCCATTTCCTATTGGTGAACAATTCCCTCACCCAGAGACAACCCCATGTTAGAGGATGCTTGTGAAGATGATGTGTTAGAATCCACGATAGGATTCTAATGCTTCTTCTGAATTATCAAAGTTTGAATGGTGACAAAAGTATGTCCTGTTCTATCTCACAACAGGTGGTTTAGAATATTTCAATTATGGCTTTCTAATTATCAAAACACCTGATTAATGAGAACACTGCTTTCCTATGCTGAATAAAAAAAGACACTATATCACTAACCTAGAGATGCCATAGATTGGCAGAAATTAAAACTGGGTCACTTTAATAATGCTATAAATTTTATGAGTTAAGTGCCAACCAAAGATACAACTCAGGAGATGAGAACATGGGTGGTAAAATCAAGTGGTTACACTGGGTAATGGATAATTCATATTTGTCTGTAAGTACAAGTCCAGGACTTATTGTGCAGCAGAGTACAAACTCAATGGCACACTGCATGGAGAAGAACATAAACAACAGTAAGATACAGACCCAGGACCAAAGGGACAACTTTGGCCGCTAGTCCAAATCTCTTCAACCTGCTCTGTGGAGAGGTCCAGTTTGGTGGGGGATGACACAGAACTGGGAATCTTTGCTGGTTGGGTGGAAGCGTCGTTGTGATTATGCGAAGAATGTTCTTGAATATTCATGATGTGGAGAGGTGGAACTCAGTATTGGGCAGAATTTCCATGCCTCAGAGAGGCACACAGGAATGGGATCGTCAGCAGCTGTCATAGTGCTGCCACCAGTACACAAGAGTATCCTAAGGAAGAGTCAAGATAGATGAAGTTAAAAGGAAATGTGGAACTTGGAGGACCCAAGGGTGTCCAGACCATCTTCAGCACACTCATCTTCAGGCAACAATGCCGTGAAGAACCAGATTTTGGTCCTGAATGTGGAGGCTTTAGTAGTTTGGAAATAGTTTTCCAAAGGCTCATGTTCTAGAGGGTTGATCTTCATGGTAACAGTATGAGGCGGTGGTAGGACCTTTAAGAGGTAGGACCCTGTGGGTGGTGAATAGATCATGGTGGCAGAATCCCCATGAACTGGCTAATATCTTTCTTGAGAACGTTGGGTAGTTAGGTTTGGTGTGTCAGCTTCATGATACAGTTCTGATGGGGATATCAAGACTGGATTGGTTTCCTGAGAGTGAGCTGTGTCTCCTGGGATGGGATTAGTTGCTACAAGAGTGAGCTGTTACAGAGAGAGCCTGGCACCTCCACGTTGACACTCCCGTGCTCTTGCCTCCTCTTTGCACATAGTCATTGTGCCTTTTTTCTTCTCTGCCAAGCTGTGATACAGCAGGAGGATAAGAAGATGCTGGTATCATGCTCTTGACCTTGCTTAGATATAACATCTCGAGCCCTCCCAGAGGGCTTTTAATTCATACAGTCTATGGTCTTGCCCATTTTGCTGTGACAATGCACAATGGACACACTGAGACAGGACTTACTTTGAAGACAAGAGTAGAGTCAAGAGCCTTCAGTTGCAAGGATAATGGTGAACACTTCCTTAGCTACTCTGTTGCCTATTAACTGTCTCCTCTGACCAAGTCCTTTCGAAGAGGAAGGATATGAATTAGGTAGGCTGTCCAGGCACTTGAGATACTGTCTCATTTAGAGGTTCTTCAAAACTTTCTCTAATCTTGACTTTTGGTCAAACCGAACCGTTCTGTACTTTAGAATACATTAAGGGAGGCACATATGAGTATAAGATAACACCATAGTCAAAGGAGTTCTAGATGGACCTCTGTTATTGCAAGTGGGAAAATAGTATAAATGAAGTGACTAAGGTAAAAAAAAAAATTCTTACACCATGAATAGTTTTGTGTCTGTTTGATGACAACTAACATTTCAGACTTGTAGCACAAATCTTAAAAGTTCTTATTAATAAAAACAAACCTAGGGCCCGTTATTGGGGTGAACGCTGGAAGATCAGAGAAGCAGAACAAGCCACAGCTTTCTCACCTTGCCACTTCCTCAGCTGATCCTGTTTCCTCAGACTGGAAGCCTCTGAGTCCTCATCCAGAATGAATCTAAACTGAACTGCTTCTCGAAAGCCTGAAAGCTTAACCAGGCTCTAGTTCCTGGTCTTCACGCCTTGTATACCTTTCTGCTTTCTGCCATCACTTCCTGGGATTAAAGACTCACTTCATGGGATTAAAGGCTCTTGGTACCATGCCTGGTTGTTTCCAGTGTGGCCTTGAACTCACAGAGATCCAGGAGGATCTCTGCCTCTGGAATGCTAGGATTAAAGGCGTGTGCTACCACCGCCTAACCTCTATGTTTAATATTGTGGCTGTTCTGTTCTCTGACCCCAGATAAGTTTATTAGAGTGCACAATATTTTGGGGAACACAATACCACCACATAGGCCTATTTCTATTTTAATCTCCAGGGATAGAGCTTTTATTGAAACATCAGCATTTGTTATGTCCTTTTCTCCCAGAAGACACCTATTTTGTAGGGATGGAAACATCAGCATTTGTTAAGTTCTTTTCTCCCAGAAGATGCCTATTTTGTAGGGGTGTGTGTGTGTGTGTGTGTGTGTGTGTGTGTGTGTGTGTGCGCGTGCACCAAGGCATTCATGTAGAGGTCAGAGGAACACTTGCTGGAATTGGATCTCCCCTTTCACAGTGTGAGTGAGATCAAACTCAGTTTGTTAACCTTATCGACAAGCTTGCTTTCCCCACTAAGCCATCTCATCAGACCAAAAGAAGTACTTAAAAGATTTCAGGCTTGTGATAATTTTATAATGATACATGGGATCCACTTCTTTCCCTTGATCTTTGGGGAAAGCAAGGGAGAGGGAAACATTTGTGATTTGATGGTCAGAATGTGACAGAAATAACACCACCTGGCTTCTGAGACTCTGCTAGAAAGGCCACCTAACAACTTAAAAACCCCTGGTGTCATTTGGCAAATTATGAGAGCCTTGGTGACCAGGTAAGAAGTCTAGCTACACTGAGACAATGTGTAGAGGACTCTGCTGAGACAGAGGTCACTCACAGAGTGAGATATTCAAGGAGTTCCAAATATTTTTAACACAATTGCTTGAGTGTTATAGTCCAGACATCTAAACCACCAAGAAGCCTTTGAGTTGACCCAACCTAGTTGTCCCGTGGCTACCTGATGGGAGACATTGGGCAAGAATTGTCACCTTGAGCCCCGTCAAAGCCCAGTCCATTAACACCATTGATGTCCGTTATATGAAGTCACCCTTTTGGGAGTTGTCATTGCCTGGTTGATAAGCAGAACACGGTTGGATGAACATTTCTATAGACTGAGTGCTGGCTTATAAAGGGCAGACAGTGTGGAAACAGAGGCGGAAGAAGAAGACACAGTAGCTGAGTTTGATGGGATAGGCAAGTGGGATGAGGCAGAGGCTAAGCTTTTCTGTAGTACTGTTTTCTCTGCTGTCTGACATGCATGGCATGTTTCCCACTTTCCTCTTCCCCTCGCCTGGTTTTGCAGACTCAAATTAAAGTAAGTTTCCCACAGATCAGTCGATTTCTGAATGGAAAGTCAGCTCTAGGAAGGGGGAGCCATTGTAACATAGGCATGCAATGTCAGAATTGGCTGCTGCTTGTATACACTGATGGCATGACCGCTCCATGGTATGGTTAAGGGGAAGGTCTTTACTGTAGATATGACAGAGAGAACAGCCAGAGGCATCTGGAAGAGTCCAGCAGACTTAACATGGCCAGAAGACTGTGCCTTGACATGAGAGAAGCAGGAGAAGGGGATGGGGCAGTTAAGGAATAGCAGGGTTATAAGGAGAATGAGTAGCTGGGGAGAAGGAAGACCCTAGCTGGAGAGAGTCTAAGGTAGGGTGCCAGCATGGGCTTTGAGATGTGATACTGCAGGGACCAGGAGGCCAGCATGGGCTTTGGTATGCCCATAGGGGCCACAGGTAGCCGTTTGGCCCTTTTGACAGAGATAAGGGAAATGGTTCCTTTGGATAGAGGGAACCTGTTTCACAAGTTCCTGAGGAATGCCGGCTTTTATCTAACCCCCAGAAATATTTGGACTGCCCTTTGGAATTTGGGGAAATGGAACTTCCTTTGTACCTGACATTGCTCAGGCCACAATTTTTGTAGAGGTTCTTCTCTCTCACAGACACCCACAGGCACCCTGTGGTGAGTCTGTGAGTTCTTAGTTCACAGACTTCCTGGTAGCAGGATTTCTTACCTGGAAGTGAGTTTAGATCAAAAGTGAGTATCTGTGGTCCTATATCTCT